TCTATCTATCTATCTATCTATCTATCTATCTATCTATCTATCTATCTATCTATCTATCTATCTACCCTCCAAAATTAAAATACCGCTGAAGCCAAAGCCGCCGCCGCTGGTGGATCGTTTAATTTTTTTACTTTCTTGCATATTGCTTAGGCAATATACTACTTTATGACTAAAATACGCATTGAATATATTCATGAAAACACTGAGTACCATAAGTCAATGCCTGAAATATATTTCTCACGCTTCGTATATTTACGAGTTAAGTGATATTTGAAGCTTAAGAAAGGCACAAATTGTGACAATACGATATTATATTACATAACGACATTATATTGCGAAAAAGTATGTGACGTTGTAGCACGTCTATTATTTTTTAAATTTTGTTGTTGTTTTTAGATTCAATACATAAATTATTTTCAAAACAATCTCCAAACGTACAGTGTTTCGCAAACTTTAGGGTGAGAATTTTTCTTTAAGGCATTGTTACATTTTCAATATTGGGATCTATCTGGGCTTTCAAAAACATGGCGTCTATAAGCGTACTATGGATTATTAAATTAAATATACGAATCTAAGCTAATACAATATGCAATATTTGAGGGTGAGTAACACACGCACTCTATCTGTGATGCATTTTGCGATTGGACACATGCTGGACAACCGATAGATCACTAGTCTTTAAAATCCTACTTAGATGCTGAGTTGGATTTGGCAAAACGCTCACTCGTGGATGTGCCAAAATTGCACTTATTCGATAAGACGAATAGGCACACAAATTTTAGAGAAATACTTTTCCCGTCATTGTTAGTGTTATAAGATTTCTGTGTGAATCATAGCTTGTCATTCCGTCATTCCATGGTAAAACTCTTGGGTCACCTGATAGTTGGTACCATGATAAAAACAATCGTGATACCATGATCTTTTCATTTTGGTTAGTACTACCCAACGAGGTAGAATATATAGAATATACTAGCTAGTTAGTACTCCCTCGGCTTGCGTGCATTATTGACGGAAAACTTCGATTTTCTTAAGAAACACAAAACATGAAATGCCACTCGCGATAGTGACCACGTCGATTCCCTTTCGTCTTCCGTTTGCAATGAGACTATTGAAGTGTCATGAAAATTACGCAATGAAATTATTGGAAGGATAAAAAAGTCGCGTTACCATTCGATTTCAATGAATTCGTTACCAGATAAAGGTCGTCAACTCACTGTGATTTTTCGGCACATGGAAGGGTGTGCCCACTGTTGAGAGATTTCTATTGTTATTGCCCAAGGAAGGTCACTAAGTACAGATTATTTACGATGGTTTGAATAACGTTTTAAATGGAATGATTACATAATAAGCATTTGTGGAGGACAGTCTACTTACAGATCATTTACTTACAGAAAAACACACGTTGTCATGCCCCCATCTCTAATACTGTACATCTGAAATTACCTTCCCATCATTAATCAGCTGCATCGACAGATTTCAGCTTATGCATTGGTCTCTAAACCTTTTGGTTTCTTGGAGACTCGAGCATTTGGAACCAGAAGAATTGATTGAATAAGCAAATTGTTAATTCAAATTTACAAAACCGATTTCGATGGAAATCTTAGGATTGAGGTGTTGAATACGCGAAATTTCACAAACGATTTGCAACAGAAAATGAATATTTCAGTCGAAACATTATAAGTACAGTTTAATAATACAAAAGTACCAAGATTCTTTCCTAATGAGAACATTTTTTGAAAATGTATCATATTTTGACTATAACTAATTCAAGTGCTGAAAGATCGTTTTCAAAATTGAAAATAGTTCAAAGAAGATTGCGACGACCTTTACTAAATAACATCTCAACGATCTCGCCATTTTAAGCAACAATCACAATATTCTGAGAGAAATGAAGTTTTGACGACTAACGATTTTACGGCAAAGTAAGAAAACTGCCTCTTTAACATAATTAAGTGAATGCATCATATGGCTACCATAAATAAATACAAATAGTTTTAAAGCGGTTTTGATGTTTTTCCTGAGATTATCCCACCAAAGGGGCCCCCAACTAAATTTTTGTCCACAGGCCACCACCACAGTAAATTCGGCCCTAACTTTATGACACTATCAAAATGCTTTTCACTGGCCCCGCTCGCGTTTCATACCATATGGCGGGAAGCACGCCTGACTTGGCTTTTCAAAAGAAGTGCGGCGTGGTCATTTTGTTCGTGACGTACTGGAATAGCGCAGAAGGAGCAAAAATCGGTGCTGCTAAACAGCACACCTGAAGACTGTAAGAAAGAAGACTCAACTTTGGTGTTAAGAGCATGGCGAGAGTATTGAAAAAGTTTCTTTTCGTAAGAGTATGTACGAAAAACGTTTGCAGCTTATTGGACACAATTATCTTCAATGACATCACAGGGTAAAGGAATGAACTTATCTCGGCAAATAACTACGCGTGTATTTTTATACTACACAGTCTGTGAACTGTGCATGAACTTGGTGGCCATTGGCCGAAAATTCTTTAATAGTTCTTCCATTATCCGCGTGATGTCGCTAAAATGTAAGTGTGGCCGATTAGCTGCGATAGCTACATGTAAGACAAAAGCAGAGAGTATAGCGGACAGCACTATCGACCTTGTACGCACGCGTAGAGACACAAAAGTGATGCGAAACACAAAGCTACGCATGCGCAACAAAAATTTGCTACGTTCATGAGAGTACAAACCTGGTACAAACATACATTAAAAACACCAAGATCCAGTAATGTATTCCTAAATCTATTAATCCTCGGTATAAGGCGACGAAATGCGAATATCACAATGTTGCAACCGTGGTGGAAACATGTAGACACACTGTGAGTCGTTTCTTGCAATCGTCTTGTATCGTGGAATCCTTTATAAGCAACGAACGCGGTACAATTTCAACCTAGAAACACAAAGCTAACCAAAATTTTTAGACGATGAATGAAAGCTTTTCATGTGAAGAATTCTTTGAATTACACATTAAAGAACAATTTGTGATGCGTAACGTAGAAGAAATATAACACTTTAATATTCCATGAAACGCGTGAGCTATGCTGAGCTGACAATGTAATCACTTCTAAATCTGTCAGCTGGTTGCATGTTCAAAGCACGTACAGGCCCGTTTTGGAGTACTTGCCACTTATGTTTTAGTTACTACAAGTTTGACATTTACTTTGTTGGTGTAAAATGGAAGATAATTTGCCAACTTTTAATCTGAGTGATGTATCCAAACATAAAAATAAAGATTCGAGCTGGATTTTAATTCATGGTGTTGTGTACGATGTAACCAAGTACTTAAATGAACATCCCGGAGGATCTGAAATACTTTTGGAACATGCTGGAAAAAATGCTACACAAGATTTTGAAAGTATTGGTCACTCCGAAGAAGCGAGAAGTAAAATGAAAGAATTTGCAATCGGGAAAATTTGTGATGCAGATGCACAGAATTCCGATAAGCATGAGCGCAAGAAATGTCATTGTGAAATTATGTAAATGTGTATCTAGGAGAGCAGAATACTCACAGTTTCAGTTTTATATATTGTTTATTGAATGCGAACTTTTGTTCGTCTAATTTACTACTGCCAGGGACATGGGAAATACTAGTTTCGAATATAAATTACTGTGGTGTTCTGTTGAATTGATTCATTCCCTGAGAAAATGGTGCTGTTAAATTTTACTTTAAAAATGTATCTGAATATATAGTATATGCATTTATTTTAATATAGTTATTATATTTTTGTAAAGGATGTAATATTGAAGTACATATGTACCTGTTTATAAAGTATGATGACAGAAAGAATTGTATATTTATCGAATATTAAATACAAATTTATATATTAATCAAGATGGTGTTTTTTAAAAAGAAGAGCTATTTGGTAAGTTAAGGTTTCAAATCAGTTGTATATTGTTGTCAGTTAAATTATTTCTACCCTGTGTTTTGGTGACAATTATTCATTCATTAATTTTGAAATTTCATACATGTAGGAAGGTTGGCTTGAATATTTAAATATTGATTCCTAAACACCTGTTAGTACGTGATTTTCCTTACCGAGTGGTGTTGTGTGAGCTGATATCCAAAAGTTGGATCATTACTATATGAGAATATTGCTTTATGCTTTAGTTTATTAAAGGTATTACAAGTTTTCTTGATCCCGGGAATACTGTCCTCTTCTTAACCAACATCTGTTGAATTAAGAATAAAAGATAGCCACAAGCGTTGACAAAAACTGATAACCAGAAATTTTCGCTCCCACATAATAGAAACTATTTTGCATTGAAAAAGGCACTACAGAGTTGATATAATAGTTCTGTCTCCTAAATAACCATATTCCACTCTCCTCTCGCATCTAGCAAAATGAAAGCTCAAGAAAACACGCGGAAAATAGGAAGACTGAAAAGGAATTGTAACAAATACTAAGACATTATCCAAACCTTCATTGGAAAATATTTTATTACTTTGAAAATATAAGGTGAGAAATTTCTTTTGTGAATTTTCAATTTAATATAATCTTCAGTGGACAAAAAAAAAAAAAAAACACACACACACCACACAAACACACAACTAAGTTGATTAATCAAAGAAAATGAAGCCATTTAATACTTTGTTGGTTTCTTGAATTGTAATTGTGTAATAGTTTGTGAGAAGGCAAATTTTACAAATTTTCTAATCTTTTATATTGTTTTCTTAAGCCATGATTTCCCAACCATTTTTCATTTCTTGACCCCTTTTAGAAGAATTGTTTGCTCCATCGACCCCTGTACCTTTGACTGTAATATACAGCGTACATAATCATAACATAAAGAATTTCACATAAATGGTTTAAAGATAACAATTTGATACCCCAATATTTCAGTAAAGATCTAAATTTTTAATAATTGAAGATGTTTCCACTTCTGAGTTTCTAATTTTCATTGTGCAATGGTAAGAAAATGTTGAGTGTTTCTGGCCATAACATTCCTCTGATGCATTTTGAATTGAGAATTTTCTTCTGTGATAGCGTATCATTGTGAAAAGTGAGTTTTCAAACCATCCTAAGCAGTTCTGTACCTAGGTTCTTGGATGCCCTGGCGCAGTAGTCAAATGGGGTCCCTATCTGCAATAAACCTAAAATAAAGTCTTCTTCTTCTTCTTCTTCTTCTCCATTTCAGGGATTAGGCAGAAGTGCCTGTTCCGTCTTCGC